GCACTAACCAATCCGCTTACTAGTTTTTATTTTTTGCGTGGGTGGGGTGTCAGCTTCACACAGCTCGCTCCAGCATTGTGGTTGTGCGCGGGAGCGTGCACTAATTGAGCGGGATTAGCGGGCCGCGTGCACCTGCAGCCTCATAATGAGCTGCAGGAAGTTTTAATTCGTTTTTTATTGTGACTCAGAGGACGAAGCCAAACCGCCGCGAGCTGCGCGCTGATTGGCTGCGGGACACGCGCAGGTCACGCGCACACCGCCTGGCGGGTTAGGTTGATCTAAAAACTGCAGAGGGCGAGTCCGAACCGAACCAGAACCAGAACTTCCTCCTGCTTACAAAATAAGTTAAACTTTAAGAAACAAGTTTTTTTTTTTTTTCACACAAAATTTTTTGGGTCAGAACCGTTTTCTGTTTTCAAGCAGCAACAATGTGTTCTTTTCTGGTTCTGTTTGGTTCTGTTTGGTTCTGTTTGGTTCTGTTTGGTTCTGTAGATCATCCTTAAAACAACCGTAGTGTTCTCTCCTCGCTGACTTCCATAACAGATGTTCTGAACAGAACCCAGAACCGTGCTGTGCCGGTGTGAGTCTGTGGTTCTGGTTCTGGTTCTGTGGACTCACACTGAGCTGCTGTGGGGTCAAAGGTCAGAGGTCCGTGTTTAAAYGCTGACTCAGGAAGTTTGTCTGCTGGAGTTCCTCAGACTCAGAACTAGACCGGATCAGACCCAGACCGGATCAGAACCGGACCAGAACAACAGAAATGATTTATTTCTGCTGAGAACATCTGTGCTCCAGTTACTGCACTTTGACTAAAAATGATGCTGTYACCATGACGACCAGAGGGGGTTAAAGATGGAGGAGGAGGCGACAATGATGGGGGAGGGCGGGGTCATTTGTGACCACGCCCCCTTCAGCTCTGAGTGAGTCACTGTTTTCATCAGAATGATCCGATCAATACATCAGTCTGTTGGGGCCCAGCAGGACCTCCTGTGTGTGTGTGTGTGTGTGTGTGTGTGTGTGTGTGTGTGTGTGTGTGTGTGTGTGTGTGTGTGTGTGTGTG